GACTAATTGCAGAGCAGGCAGTTGAAGAAGGTGCATTAAGGAGCCTGCATGAAAGCCCAACGTGTCTGTCCTTTCTGTAAGCAGGCAGTGAGAACAGCCTGGCAATACCAGCCACAGTACAAAGCAAACAGAGCCACACAGGCAGGCACAGGACCTACTGTCCTACAAGTCACTCCCCACTAGTTCTGCCTCTCTGCAGCACTATTTTTCTGTAGCCCTAATAGCTTAAGGACAGAGGAAGGGCATGGTTTGAAGAAAGATTTAGCATTGTATCAGGTAGGATGTAAAAACAACACAGGCTTTCAGAAATAAAAGTCCTCCTTTAGAACCTTGTATGCCCAAAAGCTTGTCTGTCTTTTCCAATTACACTAGCTTGCTTTAACAAAGAGACAGTATTTCTGCCAACAAATGTCCTGTCTTCTTTGTGCAGTGACAGAAAAACAGAAAAGAGATCTGCAGTACCACTGCAGTTTACAACAGCGTATGTCTTGTACCACTGAGACTTCTAAAGCCAAAAGGGATCATCATGGCATCATTCTACCTCAGGATTTTTTAATTATTCACCAGTAACAACTGTTCCAGCTGTGTCTGAAAGCAACATTTGATACGAGGGATCCATACTGTAAAGAGTCACATGCTGATTCAATTCTTCTGTCCAAGAATCATAATAAAAATCACATTTAACTTTCAAATGCCAGTTACATTAAAACAAAGTTTAAACAAACAAAAAAAATTTCCTATATTGTTTTTCTGTATTCTTCCCAGTGACACTACAAACCAAGAAACACTACTGAAAACGCTTATTTGTTTGGGTTTTTAAAATTTATTTCCCAAACAAGCAATAGACTGCTGGAAAAAATCTGCTCTGCAAGATACATAAAACCTCAAAAAAACGGGACAGGATAAAGAAAAGCTTTCTTTCTTTTTAAAACCAGGAAAAAACATTTTAAGCTCCTTCTACTCTAAACCAAAACAAAACCAAGAACTGTGCAGACTTCCATAACTAATGCAGTATGAAAACCAACATGTATTGAATATTTTTAAAGGACGGTGTTCCTTTGAAAAGCTGTAACTAATTCATTTGACAGTCCAGCTGAGACATGTTTACATCCCTATCTACTAAAACCTGTGCTAAATGAAACAGGGTGGGTTTTTTGCAGCTGTAGATATATGCTTGGAACACTCAAATAATGACAGATGTAAATAAATAATTTCCTTTGTCTTTACAGTAAAAAATGTTATATATGCTCAATAATGTAGTCAGCTTGTTACTTAATTCACTGCATCTAATTTGCATATACCTGTAATACTTTTTAATTCCTCAGTCTAGCAATTAGCATACTGATTCTTATTAAATATATCAAAGATGTCTTTTTAGTTAGCAAACTCAAAAGTAAATGTACACCTGCAAAACATTTTTTTAAGCACTTGCAATTTAAGAAACATTAAGTGCTATAAAAATTGGTACCATCTTAATACACCAGACACAACAGAAACCATTAGAAGAAACACTTACAATGGCACCATCCAACCAATTAGATTTGCAAAATATTTCACTGGAAGGAAAATCCCTATAAGGCTAATTGAAGTCTCCTAAATTAAATGTGGGCTTTTTTTTTTGAGTTATCTCTCACAAAGCCCCCTGGAAGTCTCTCCCCAGAAAACTCAAGATGGATCAGATACTGGAAGTTGGTATCTTTGTAGCACTATAAAAAAATACTCAGTCTGGCACACTTCAGAGCCTACTGCTCACAATTTTGTATCACAAAATGCAATACTTTCACCCCTTGCCACAGAATAAATAAGAACTAAGCAAAACAATTGCAGAAACATAAGTGTGGCTCACACTACAATGCTTTTAATTCTCAATTACTGTTCAACATGAGTCATTCAAATCCAGCACTATAATATGCATGTCAGTAATTCAGTCCTGGGGATTCCTCATTCTTGTTTGTTCTTATAGGCTACAGGCATTTTATTAGAGTCAAGAAAATAAACCAAAAAGATTTCAGCGAATCTCTCCAGCAGTCATAAAAAGATTGCAAAAATCCATCACAAGCATTCACCTTCTTGACTTACTTAAAAATAGTCTCACATTCTTGCCAGAAGCACAGTGCTGCCACATTACCCCTTCTTCTAGATTTTCACTTTAAATACAATGTAGTGCTCTGCCCACAGCATATTGTTAATTACACTCTAAATGGAAAACGTTTATATTGCTTCTATATTGTCACTCTTCCATTCTGTTCATTTCAGCATTTTATACTTAATAATTGAACACATACTAATGTTGAAGTAGCACTGTATGACTGAAAAGCAATAAACCTCACCCTAGCTTTATCCCAGAGAAAAATATAGGTATAAATCACCATTTATAAATCAACTCTAAAATAGGTATAAATCACCATTTCTGGGAACAAGATAACACAATATGCTTCCAGAACTAGTCAGCAAATCAAACAGGCTCTTATGAGTTTTAAGTCAACCACAATCTAAGGGCCCACTCTGAGCAACAAACGTGGCTTTAATCAGACACACATAGGTCCTCATCAGACACACAAACCAGGATGTGCTTGCAAAATCAGCATTTTCCATTATGAATGGTGGTACACAATAGAGACCACGTTGTTGTTGGCCTTCTTTAACAGGACAATAAGAAAACAAAACATTTACTACTTCTTCTTATGCAAATAGTAGCAATAAGCACTGCTGTTCAATATTTTCTTTCAAGAATCTTTCAGCAGACAGACTTAGAAGAAAAGGTGTCTTCTAAAGAAAGAATCTCGCTGCCCATTGAACTATATATCTTTAACATTCTAATCCAAACCAGTGGGATTCTCCTATAAAAGGATTAAATTCAGTAAGCCTGGTGAAGAGCGCTGTGTAACACATCATCTTGTAAAAATGAACTTTTATTTACAACGATGGTCAGAAATACATAACAGTAGGAAAATCTGATAGCAGCCACAGACTCATCACAGAAAGCTAGTTCCACTAAAGCCACTTCTCTATCCCACCACGTCAGTTTTGTTTCACAGAGACATAAATTGGAAGCCTCTACTCTGGTCATTGACACAATTCCTGCTGTCAGGAGGATTACTTACAGGAACACAACCCTTTATTAATCACAAGCTTGACCCAAACAACCACAACAAAAAGATTCAAATAGAGAAGTTTCATTTCATTTGAATCTCTCTCTCTCATGCCAATCACTGTTAGCGGAAAGGATGTGCAAACAGCACAGCTAAATCCACACAGCAATGATGCAATGACCCACAAAGAGACTCCAAGGGCCAATGGAGTAAATAAAGCAAAACTAGCCAAACCCAAAGGGCAGCATGCATATGAGCATCTTCTCCGCTTAAATGGGCACATACTGAAACCTAGTCTTGTATTTCCAAGTTCTGCAATAAGACTTCACAGAAACAGAAACTTCCTATATTGTTGCGAAAACATATATTACACAAAAGAAGAGAAACAAGTGCCCAGGTTCACTGAAAATTTAAATAACAAAATATGGAGAAATGCAAAGTGATCATTGTGTCACACACACTTAAAAAATAAAATGCAATTTGTAATTGAAAATTAAACATACAACTAGCTGTCATTCAAACCAAAATGCTGGATTCAAATATCATTCTTCCCTTTGGGAAAATGTGGCTGTAATTTCTTTGAATTAACCTGATACAAATATATACATGAATCTGTCTTTCATCTATACATATAGAAGTCTGTATGATTTACCATACACCAACACACCTCCATATACACAAAGCATGTGGAAGCAATTATTTCAGACTAAGTATTTGACAGCTGCTCCCTTTTTTTGCTTAAAAGAGGATTGTTACTAATGTTACACAAGAACCAAAACTACCCACTTCTGAAACTTTGGTGCAGCTTGGGTTGAAAGGGCAACATACATTCCCAGAGTCCACCCAATAAATAGCAAAAGAGACAAGAAAAAACACATTGTAAATTTGGTGTATCTTTGGTTTTCATTTCAGTATTTAAAATGCCATTCCACCCACCAACCTAACAGCAAATCTTTGATTTGAACAGATTCTTCTCAAAGAGCATATCCAAACACATCCTAACTAAAAAGCAAAAACAAACTAGGTCCTCCCTGTTGTCTAAGACACTTGTATGTTACTGGGCATCACCTGCACTTTCCATGAAGCATACTACAAACAGATGGGTGCCAGGAAGATGATAAAGCACAGCTGAAATACCAGTTTATACCAACAGATTTATGCCTTTCAGAAAACATGAATGGAAAAGTTTTTGTATCATTGTACTCAGGACAATTCTTTGCACACTGAAGTTATGGCATTTTACTGCAAGGCACCTCAGCATTTCTCTGAGAAGTCACAGTTGGCCTTGATTCTAACAAAATGAGAAGCTTTTCCAGATAAAACAGCTATCTCCTGTCACAGGCCATTCCAGTTTGCAGCTTCTGAAAATCTGGCAGACTTCAAGCAAGCTTTTTTCCTATTGCTCTGCCTTTCCATTTGTCTTCCAGGCCAGACTTCACCACCGTGTGAAAGCAGTTGACTCTCACAGCTTTCAACTTCCATTAACATGCATTTATTGCATTTGCTTGGAAACTGGCAGGTGCTGGGGAATGAAGGAGAAAGTAGGCCAGACCAAAACAAGACACATTTCCAGAGAACCTCCCACCATCAGTCGTGTATGCTTGAATTTACCAGAAAAATTCCAATTGACCCAAATCCCATTTGGATTAGTCTTGAGCCTCCTTCATATCACTCTGTCAAATTCCAAGCAGAAATACTTAAACAAAAAAAGAAAAAAAACAGAGAAGAGAAGAGAAGAGAAGAGAAGAGAAGAGAAGAGAAGAGAAGAGAAGAGAAGAGAAGAGAAGAGAAGAGAAGAGAAGAGAAGAGAAGAGAAGAGAAGAGAAGAGAAGAGAAGAGAAGAGAAGAGAAGAGAAGAGAAAAAGGTAGGTATCATTTTCTTTAGAGTGTAACACATGTTTTGCTTACCTCACTGTTGTGGCCCCTCAAATTGAAGTTGATTCTCTGAGGGGTGTTCCGGTCCCTCCTGCAATGGCTGGAAGTGAAAGTGACACCCACAACTCCTCTGCCATTGCCCGTTGCCAGCCAGCCTTCCTCATAGTACCGCCTCCTGCACACCGGTTTCTCCTTCTCACTTTTGGGGACTCTGCCTTTCCAGGAGAGGCAGAGGATGTTGGAATCGCTGCAAAGAACAGGCCCATGTTCCACTGCTGCATACATGCTTTTTAAATATTTTATTTTTTGACATAAGAAAGTAATATGTCTAGTGCACAAAATTTAAATCAATTTTTTTTTTTTTATTGATAAGACTGACCTGGATAGATCATTGAAAGGGAGGAGGATGGGGTCAGTGTTTATAAATATCCACCAAATGCATAGTGAAAAATTCCTCTATAAAAGATGATGGCAGTTGGCTAAGAAAAAGTAACACTTAAAAAAAAATTCAGGTTCATTTTTGTTTTGAGTCTGTAGAGTGGGGGTGCACTTATCCTTTGGAGAAACAGCTACTTCATAAGAGGCGCTCAAGAAATGGTTAAGTCATCTTTTTGCTCAACTTGATATAATCTTTATTCAGCCTGAGATTCCAGTTTAGCGTAATGCAATTCCAGAGACAAAGAGTTGCAAATGTGTAGGTTTCAAGTAACTTAAGGCTTTTAAAACTTCCTCCAGTCAGATTTTCTTCAAAAGTTCAGTTGCAGAAATTTAAACACACGCACATACATATATATGTATATATATGACATTCCTCTTTTCCAAGCTGCCCTCTGGCATATCTTTTCCATCTGATGTATTTCTGCTGCTAAAGCTGAAAGAGATTGCATAAAGGGAAAAAAAGGCACACAAACCGTGTGAAACAACAGACCCGAACTTGTGCAGGCACTGGTGTGCCAGGCCAGTTAGGAAATCCCTCTTGGTACTGAACCGCTCGTTGGACTCAAAAGTTTTTGCAATCCAAAGCCAATCCAATTTTCATCGCAGCACTTTTTTTCCACCAGAGACCCAACACAGCCTGAACTGTTTATCACGCTATCTTGCCTGCTTTCCCACTTTTTGCTGCCACACACGAATGAAAAAGAACCCCCTCTTCATTTATAGCAGAATCAAAAATGCTCTTAAGCTTTTAGCTTTCAAAGTAGGTAAGTTTGCCTCAGGTGAACCATGAAGTTCTTTCTCCTGTGAAACGGGCTACAATATCAAGCTGTTTTTCCTTTACTTTTCCCTTTTTTTTCTGCTACAAGGAATCACAGACTTTTCATTCTACCATAAAAAACAAATGCCAGAATTAAAGCACATCAAGTAAGCACTCTTTCAAAATCTTCTAAAATTCAAGGAAGGAAGAAATATAATCATCTAAAAAAGAAAGAGAAGCAGCATTAAAAATCTGACTTCCTGGGTTCACTATTTCTCTAGGTATTTTCCTTGCTTGTTTGACAGGATCTTTCCTTCTTGATGCTTGTCTACAGCACAGATTCATAGTTCCAGACACAACATTTGCAGCTGTACAAGAAGGAAACATATGAAGTATTCCAATCGTTTTATTTGAATAACATTTATGAGCTCAATTAGCTAGTATTTATATCACACGAAGTGAAAAGAGGAAAAAGGAGAGGGAGAAGGGATATGCAAGTTTGATGACCTGGTTAACTCAAGAAGGACGGCGAGGTTTGCTCAGTTCAATGCCCAGACTTGTCCCATAGTTCCTCAACTTATTTACTTCCAGTCATCATTGCTCAGCAGAAGGTCACGATTTATTGTCCATTCACATCTACTGAGCCCAAAGCAAAACGTGCCCAAGACCATACATTATTCCTCTGCTAGAACTAAATCAGTTTCCTCTGCCCTCTTGATTCTTCTGTTTCCCTCACAGCTATTGATTTAGATTGTGGAGGTATTTATTAGGCTTCTCCTGCACAGAGGGTGTTTTTTCTTTCTCTTCTTGCAGACTTTTTTCACCCGTGAAGACCATGTGGGAAGTTGAACATTACTGGCAGGTGTCTTTCCATGGATTACTGATTCCTGTGTTGCAAAGGTGCTCCATCTGGTTCTCAAATTAATTTTCATCAATTGCAAAGCTCTCAGGAATATGCCAGAGCAAGTCTACGTGATGACGAAAACACGTGCGTTTTCATGTACATGCAGTGCACACACCAGTCTGGTACTCAGAGCTGCATCTCCCTTTTCAGTTTAGGTGTGGTAATCTTGTAAGATGCCTGCTACTCAAAACTTGAAATCCCTGGATTCTTCCAACTCTGCAAAGCAAAGCACACACACACACAAAAAGAAAAAAGTGAATAAAGTAAGTCACAAAACAAGTTAAAGATACTGGTACTACTGTTACAGTAATTGAAGTATTGTGGTTAAGGATTGTATACTGGACTCCTACACAGTGTATTATATATAGATAAAGCATTATTCAGAACATACATGTTTAATATATTTGTATTTGATAGATACACAAAGACAAAATACAAAATTTTCTTTTTCACTTCCAAAATTCCCAAAACTTTTCACGATGGACATGTATAGCTAATGAAATGTATCTGGGAAGGATACTTCAGAGGGGGGGAGAGGAGGGGGAAGAGCTTTGTCTTGCTCACAGTCTCTGGGGCAAAGTCTTAAAGATTTCACAGCTTTGAAGTGAAGATGGGGAAGGGAGATGTTAGTGATAGAGCAGGCACAGGGTTAGACCCTGAGGCACACACAAACAGAATGGCTGACCTGGAAGGGACCTCTGGACATCATCTGGTCCAAACACTGTGCTCAAGCAGGGTCACCAAGAAAGAGTCAGTTACCCAGGATTGTATCCAGGCAGTTTCTAAATATCTCCAAGGATGAAAACCCTATGAATTCTCTGGGCAACCTGCGCCAGTGCTCAGTCATCCTCACAGAAAAGTGTTTCCTGATGTTTAGAGGGAACCATCTGTGTTTCAGTTTGTGCTCATTGCCTCTGGTTCTGTCACTGGATACCACCATTAAGAGCCTGTCTCTCTCATTCAATTCCCTCTCATCAACTGTACACAACAACAAGATCTCCTTAGGCTTTTTATTCTCCAGGCTGAAGTCTCAGCTCTCAGACTTTCCTCATAGAAAAGATGCTCCAAACCATGAAAATACAGTACTGAACTTACCAGTCTCAAAGAGACTGGGAAGATTCCTCCAGGGCTTAAACTACTGCTTTGAAGAGATCTAAGGTACTTCAAAATTAAAGCTTAAAAGTCTGAATCAACACAGATGAATTTAAAGACTATTCAAATGCTGCTTAAATCTCCATTTAAAAAAGGGGAGAAAAATTCCCCAAAGTCAATTTTATACAAAAGAGTGTACACAAATAAAGCACAAGAGACCAAGCAAAAGGCCATTCAGGATATTCCAGTAGTTGTATCCGAAGTGCACACATATGCAGTTATTGCATCTACAGTCACTGCTAAAGAGAGCTCATTTAAATTCAGAGCTGCATTCATAATAGTCATCAGAGCTGTAAAAATGGTCTTGTCTTTATTACATAAAGCACTATACTAACCTCATGTTTCCTGTAATTAACCACTTATTTCATTCTAGCATGGACATATTAATTAATTTTGTTTAAAAAAAAGAGACTAGATAAGAAAACAAATTTACAGACACAAAGGCAAAGTTGTAAAGTAGTTTACAACCCTACACAGTTGGCTGACTTATCAGAAACACTGTCCCCAAGATTTGGTGAGTCACTGCCAGACCTCTTCAGCACTACATCTCACTGAAGTTTTAAAAATAATGACTGCTATTAATTTCTTTTTCATCATGACAAGATGATGATATGACAAATGTCACCTTTCCAAATTTCTGGTGCTTATCAATTACAGCCCAGAGAAAGTTCATGTATAGGAAAACATACAAAAATTTTCAGAGTACAATGGTTTGTAGACAAACTTCTGCATTTATCCCATAAGCAAACTTGATCCTCTGAAGGATCAGTGCCATTGTTTCCATACCCACTGAAATCTTTCTAACAGACATCTGCATTCAAAAGTTGACATTTTATATTAGCAGCATGAGTATTATGATGCAAGCCTTTACTAATCCTACAGAGAAATTAAAAAAAAACGTTTACTGAGAAAACAAAGTCTCTGAAATATCAGAGCAGAGATAAGCACTAAACAGAGTTGTTTGAACTGTACAAGAACCCAGAGTTTACAAGTGGATTTTAAAATACAGGTAACTATAGATACAGTGGCTTTGCATATAATCTGTATGCAACTTCTGTCCTTATTCACTGCACCCAAGACTAACAAGGTTGAGAAAAGGACTCATCTGCATCTTGGTCAATAACCTTCTCTCACCTTAGTCCCATTTACCATCACTTTCAAGATTAGACAGACCAAAGGCTTCTCCTCTTAAAAATATCCTAAATGCATTAGAAATGCTGGTCAGGGAGAGATGAAAATCTAAAATAACTACAAAAGTAATAAAATCAGCCATTATTCAAATGCATTATTCAAACACAACACTTTTTCAATACAATACAACCTATGAGAATGTTTTACCTTTGAGTCACTGAGGATTGACACTACCTTTATGTTACATTCAGAGACAAGAAAAAAAATACTTTTAAGACTGTAGTATCAAACACTCAAAATACAGACTGAATTAAGATTACATGTATTATATATTAATGCTTTCCATTCCCTTCTTCTTCACTTCCATGCACTCTGTAGTTCCTAAGAAATAACCTAACTAAAAGATTCAAGTACTAGTCTTCTCTTAAAAAAATTCATAATTTAGACACTCCTCTTCTACCACCATTACAGCAGCCTCACAGTTCTGCTCATTTTCATATTTTGAAACCAAGCTTTTCCCCTCCATGGAACACCAGGGTAATGGCTTCCACCCCTGTTGTGAAGTGTGTAATAGCAGAGGATAAAAAGCATGATAGAAAGAAGAGCTGGGTGTCACCTGCACAATCCTACCACTAGCCCAAAGGCCCAAAGTCAGTTTGGGCTGACCACAGAAAGAGAACTTGGCCTTCCAGAAGGAGCTCATCAAAACTAAATTTTTAACTGAAGATTTTTAATCATCAAATTTTCTGCACCTTTCCTTCCTAATATAAATTAGTGCAAGGACTAATCACAGAAGTGCACTACCATCTGATTTTGCTGGTGAATTGTTTCTGACACTACTAGGACAATAAATATCAATGAATTCTCTGAATTCTCTACCTTCACTCTCACTTAAAAGGTAGTTGAAAATATATTTTCTCTGGATTTCCCCTTTAACAAAGGGAGATGCTACTTGAACTCATCCTCTAATACTGTTGAGTCTAAGCCCAGTGATGTAAGACATTTAAGTACAGATAAAAACATATTAGACCTGTGACAAAGGAAAGCAGGATCCACAATTATTTTATTTCATTTTGTTTTGAAAGCATAGCTCTTCTCAAATGCAAAACCCAGCAGCAAGTTACGTTTCTGCAGAAAATTTAGGTACTAATTTTTAAAAATGTGTTTATAAACAGTAGCTCTCTTATTGTAGTGTCAATATTTAACTCATCATTTTTATCTTCTGTTCCTACTAACTTATATAAAGTGTGTTAAGCCACAGTTGGACAACCAGAAAAATATTTGTTTGTTCTCATGCGTCTTTCATTGAGGTGTCTCTTTTGTTGACAGAAAGAAGCCAAGCACAGCCAAATGCAGCAATGCTGCAGCAAGCTCTTCAGTATTTCATATTTATTCAAACCCCTGCTCTTCAAGGCTGCAGAGCAGAGAATCTGAAGGCGAGGATAAAAGGGGACTGGGAAGGGAAGGAAAGCAAAGAAGGAAAAGTGAAGTGAGTACACACTATTTCTGAATTATTATCTTCAAGAAACCAAAACAAATAAGGACTCACAGCCTGCTTTTGGAAGATTCTGATGACCCAAACATCTTAAGGAAAGAAATAGAAGATATAGAGTCTTTGAAAAGACTTCAGGATTCTTCAGCCTAACCAGATTCCCTACCTGCCAAACCTGCATAAGGTGAAAGGAAATTTTTTCCTTTTCCTTTTGCAGTCTAAGAAGGAAAAACTGTACACCAGTGTCCATGAAGATAGCAAGGTATTTTAAAAGTGCCAGCCACAACTGCTTTGGCACAAGCTGATGGCAGATGATACCACCAGCTATCAAATGGGGACTGTGGGAGCAACCTCTAAGGTCACTGCTGAACACTACAGTACAAAATTGGCACATCATGTAATAGAGTTAGTGTATTACAGGCTAAATACTATAGAGACAGAAGCTGGTAAGATGATACAATTCGTTATTTAGTCCAATCTCTAAATTAACAAAAATCATTAAACAATTCTATCAAAAAAGTGAAAGAAAATTATTTAACAAGACTAACTACTTTCCCAAAAAGCCTGAAGAAAAAAATTAACTGGCTTGGAAGCTGATCTCTCTGAAAACTTACTCTCCAAAAACAGCGATTGATATTAAGAGAGCTTCCCTTCCTGAAGTCACCATGCACAAAAGGGTTAGGAATTGTGGCAATTTCAATCAGTTTGAGCTGTGCCCAAAAGTTTTTGCTCTTTTAAGTAGAACCAATCCCCACCACAGCCCCAGTGTTGTCCCACATTCAGCTGCACTGGCAAACTGGGAAAGGCACAAAACAAGTGAGAAACAGAAGGGAGGAGTACCTGCAACTAGTATGTCGCTTGAAGACTATTGATAACAAAGTTTGGGCACAGAATATTTCTGAACTCAGGGCTTTGTCCTTAGAAGAAAGGGAAGCAAAGTTTTTCCTCTTGAAGATGAATTTAAGATGGCTTCAATGTCCTGGAGTCAAAGCTACACATGAGCCATGAAAATATGCCTCATTTTCAAATTAAAAAAAAGTGAGCTGAAACACTCCAGACAGGTGTTGAAAAACCTGCTTCAGGAAATAAAAATGTACAAATAAGACATAGTCACCTTTTAAAAAGTTGGGAGATTCACACCACTGAAAAACACATCCAAACACTTTAGAGATTCAAAGAAACTGTCAAGTGTGACCAAGAAATTCCTGACACTTGTAAGTGTCAATCTTCTTTCTCAAGAAAAGGCTACAATCCTCAGAGCACAGAGAAGCCCTAGACAATGTATACTTCACTAGGGACTTCATGAAAAAGTGGCAACAACTGTGTCTTACTAAGAATATTCAATGACCTTCATGGGAGGGCGCCCCTGCTCTCACCATCTCTTTTCCATTGAACTGACTGCGCTGACCTTGCCGGTAATTACAGAGCAATTTCTTTCCCG